GTTCGGAGCATTGTAACTCCTTTCTTTTCCTGTAGTACTGCCTGTTCATGACTATTAACATCGACGGTCTCCTGCTCTGTTGTATCATAAGATGGTCCAGGAGTGGTATCTATTAACCCGTCTTTCCTCGTCGTGACACCATCATCCGAAGATAGTTGGCCACAGCTCTGGTCAGATGTTGGTATTCCCTCATGACGACCCAGTGTCAATGACCCCGACTGTCCCTTGCAAGAGGAAGGTCCTCTACAAGCGCTTATCTCATGGTCCTCGACAGGTTCCTCTGTAGCCCCATGACCAGCTTCAGGCAACTCCACTATGAGGCAAGGGCCGCTCTCTTCAGTCTTATTCCTCTTCTTTACCCCTTTGGTATTCGCCTTCTTTGACCGTCGCTTACATTTATGGAGGACCTCATCAGCTTGCACACTATCAACATCGCTCTTCTTCCTCTTCCCTCCAGCCTTCTTATTAGAGCTATTCCCATCCACAGACTGTGATTGGGCCGAGACCTCATGGCTATCCCCCTCTACTTGGACCCCTACATTGCTCCGCTTCCTCCCCTGTGAACGACCGTCATCGTGACACTGTAATGTCGAGGACATCATTACCGAGGTCATGGTAGACTTGTTGAGAGTAGATGCCGAGTTAGCCCCTCCGGTCGCCACAGACCTAGTCGTATACTCAGTAGTCTGGACAGCTGCATTACTACTATAACAACAACAAGAAGACAATGATCCTTCGATAAGAGGCACAGTGAGTAGACTCACCTCAGCCTGTTCATATACCCATATGATATCACACAGATAACAGCGCTATCCTTAATATCAGGGGAAGCTGCTGCCTTCCCAACAGGTGTCGCTACGGATTTGGCAAACTCCCCTGGAACGGTGATGATGATCATATGGTGTTGATTCCCATCGTACTACCAGCAAGGGTGTCCTGAAGGGCCATTGCAGTGTGGTGGCAGTCTGCTTCAGTGGCCATAATATGACCATCCCATCGCAGATACAACTGTTGGCATGGTGTCGTCACGGCTAACAACGATATGGGATAGTAGGGGGAGCACCACAAGACTATCGTATATACTTACTGATAGACCTTCGTAGGAAGGTGAATACCTTGCGTATTGGAGTCTTCTCCCGCCACGATAAACTAATGATAGGCAAAATGTCGTCGTTAGCCGGCTAATGAGGCTCCTCTTTCCGTTGTTCCTACTTGATTTGGAACTTCCCCCCTCGAGTATCCCCACTATCGTCGGTAAGAACCTCTGGAGTAAGCCTTATTACGAGCCACTGTGGGGAGGATACAGTCGGATGTTGGACGATGCAGGACTTGTCGGGAGCCTGCCCATAGTGGGAGTACAGTGATGCAGATACGACCTCATCACAGTGGCCCCCCACTACCGCCGCTGCTGCCATACGTTCCTCGTGGCAGAGGGACGTGGTAGCCATGCTAGGAGGATGCACTATAAGGGGTCATGGTGACACTATCGGCACACTGCTCGTAGTTGATAATAGAGACGACGATTATTTGAGGGGGAACAACAACGATTACTATCATTATTCTTATACGAAGAGCTTGTTATACCACTTGGGTGGTCGACGGAAATAGTAGATTCATTATTATTATCATGATAAGACGTGTACGAGGCAGAGG